TTTGAGAGATTATTGGGCCATGGGGGCTATGACCTCACCTGCAGGATTAATACCATTATAAAAGGGTGAGTTTGACTCCCTTTTGCCTCCTTGCCCTTTCTCTTTCTGTCATATGATGACTATGAAAGTCCTTTCAGGTGCTGGTGCCTTGATCTTGGGCTTCTCAACTTCTAGAAAGCTGAGGCAATACATTTATGTTCATCATAAATTACTCAGTTTTAGATATTCTGCTATAATACCACAGATAGACAAAGAAACCATCACACAAGCTTTTGTCTTGTACTTCCTCAATGTTGCTAAAATTTGGATACACCTTTCCAACTAAAAACATCTTAAACATTTAAATCAAATTAGACAACAAATCCTTAGTTCCTCAAAAAAATTTACTAGTCATTGTGACATACCTGATAGAAGAGGTAAATAATTTGAAACAATACAGAAAATTTTCCAACAAAATTAAGGTCTTAGAAAAACAGGAAGCAGGAAAAACAATAGAAATTCACACTTAGGCACCTCAGAGTGAAACTGCAGTAAAAGAAACAAAATGGGCTGGATTGTGGTGCAGTGGATTAAGCCTCTGCTTTCCATGCTAACATCCTATATTGGAGTACTAGTTAGGGTCCCAAATTTTATTCTAGTGAGGAAGCTTTCTGCTAATGTACCTGTGAAGGCAGCAGAAGATGACCCAAATACTTGGGCCCCTGCCACTCACGTGGGAGACCAGGAGGGAGTCAATGATGCCTGGCCTCAGCCTGGCATAGTCCTGTCTCTTGCAGCTATTTGGGAAGGAAACCAGTAGATGAAAGAGCTCTTTCTTTCCCGACACCACTTTTGTCTCTCTCTGTTACTCTGCCTTTCAAATAAATAAATCTTTAAAAATGAAACAAAATTAGACCAACAAAGAGTTTGGAAAAATATAGTTTACCTTCAAAAGCCTGCCACAGAAAGAAAGCTGACATCTTAGCTATTCTAATGAAAGGTGGAAGACAGGAAAGTGGAATATTTGATACATTGAAAGAAATGTTTGATGAAGCATTCTGTATTATAAGAATTCCATACATAGTGACATACCCTTAAAGAATTCTGATGGAACAGGCACATTATAATAAATAATTAAATAATTTGTCACAAGAAAAGGAATATTGAAGGAACTGCACTATGGTATTGTTGAGGAGAAAGAATATGTTAGTAGTGGAATGCCAGGTAAGTGAGAAGACATGATGAACCACAGAAAGGATAAATACATAGAGCTGTCCTCTGGTATCCATGAGGGACTGATTCTAGGAGGCCTTGCAGGATCTAAATCCATAGATCTCAATTATCTTGCATAGAACTGCATAGTATTTCCATATAACCTTGGTGAATTCTACTTACTACATATGTATCTAATACAATGTATAGTCTATGTAAGTTGTTGCTATACTTCAGTACTTCAGGAATAATGACAAGTAAAAGAAAGAGCTCTGGATATATTCTTCACAGATGCAATTTTTTTCTTGACTCTGACTTTTTTAAAGACTCACTTATTTATTTATTTGAAAGGCAGAGTTAGAGAGAGGCAGAGGCAGAGAGAGAAAGAGAGAGAGAGATCTTCCATCAGCCAGTTCACTCCCTGGACGGCCTCAATGGCCAGAGCTGTGCTGATCTGAAGACAGGAGCCAGGAGCCAGGAGCATCCTCGGGCACAGGGGCCCAAGGACTTGGGCCACCCTTCACTGCTTTCTGAGACCACAGCAGAAAGCTAGATCAGATGTGGAACAGCTACAACTCAAACCAGCACCTCATCCACTAAGTCACAGCGCTGGCCCCTAATTTTTTCATTAAATGACCCTGGAATAGGTACACATCACCTTCGCTTTCACCTTAAAAAGAGTCTAGACATAAGTGTTTACATCATTAAAAGAAAATTAACTCAAAATGGAACATAGACTTAAATATAAAACATAAATCTAAAATTCCTAGAAGGAGTGTGGGTATTGGTATAGAGGTTAAGGCACTGTTTCAAATGTCTACTTTCTACACTAGAATGCTTGGGTTAAAGGCCTAGTTCTGCTTCCAAATCCATCTTCATGCTAATGGAGGTGGAAGTAGGTAATGTAGGTGATGACTCAAGTATCTGGGTCTCTGCCACCCCTGTGGGAGAGCTGGATTGAGTTTGCAGTTCCTAGCTCCTGGCTTAGGGCCAGCTCTTACTGTTGCAACAATTTGGGGATTGAATCAGCAGGTACTAGATCCATCTTCTTTTCCCTCTCTTCCTGTGCCACTCTCTTCCCACTCTCCCTTCCCTTTTTGCATCCTACTCTTCCTCTTCCTGTTCCTTTCTATGCCTGTCAAAGAAAATACAGAAATAAATAAAAATTCATAAAACTCTTAGAACATAATATGGGAGAAAATCCATATGTCTTTGGGTATGTCAATGATTTTTTGATACAAATAACAAAGACATGGTCTGTGAAAGAAAGAGTTGATGAAATTGAACCTCATTAAATGAGAAAACTTATACTTTGTGAAAGACTGTGAATAAAATAAGAATACAAGCCATACACTAATATTTGCAAAGGACACATTTAATAAAGCAATGCTATCCAAAATATACAAAGTAGACTTAATGGTAAGAAAATGACAACCCAATTAAAATATGGGTCAAAGACCTACATAGAATTGGGTAGTATTGTGAAATTTTTGGTTTGCCCTTGTTCCATTCTATTCCCTACTCAACAGCTGTCTTTTTTAGAAAGCTTTTATTTAATAAATATAACTTTCATAGGTGATGCTTTTGGATTATAGCTGTTCTTCCTCCCATACCCGCCTACCACCCCAACTCCCATCCCACTTCCTACTCCCTCTCCTTTCCCATTCTTCATCAAGATTCATTTTCAATTATCTTTATATACAAAAAACTCTATACTAGGTAAATATTTCAACAGTTTACACCCACACAGACACACAAAGTATAAAGTACTGTTTGAAGACTGACTTTACCGTTAATTCTCATAGTGCAACACATTAAGGACAGAGGTCTTACATGGGGAGCAAGTGCACAGTGACTCCTATTGTTGATTTAACAATTAACACTCTTATTTTTGATGTCAGTGACCATGCTAGGCTCTTGACATGAGCTGCCAAAGCTATGGAAGTCTTTTGAGTCCACAAACTCCATAGGTACTTAGGTTCCTATGCAAACTAGAAGTTCTCTCCTCCCTTCAGAGAAAAGTACATCCTTTTTTGATGGCCCCTTCTTTCCACTAGTGTCTCACAGAGATCTTTCATGCAGAACAGTTTTTGCTACTATGTCCTGGCTTTCCATGCCTGAAATGCTCTCATGGGCTTTTTAGACAGATCTGAATGCCCTAAGGGCTGATTCTGAGGGACATAAAATGGCTATGGGAACATATTCCTTGAAAACATTGAAAGGCAAATGACACACTATGTCCTGCAGGAAGATACTTTGAAGAAAACTGTGGACATGCTGCAAACCTGGGAGGGAAGCCTGACAAGAGAGAGAGATTTTGTAGGTAAGTAGGACTTTAACAATTCCCTGTGTAGAGGAATTTAGATAGCTTCATTCATTCCAAAAGCAGGATTTGTACTCAGAAAAACTTTTGAAAACCCTAAACGTTCAACTTTAACTGATCACTATGCTGAGGATAAGCCCAAATTGAAAGCTTCGTAGGGTTGTAAAGGGCCTGCCTGGTTAAGCACTGAAGGAATGCACCAACACTAAGTAAATGAAAATATTAGAAGAGTTTTTTTCTTCCTAGGATTTCAGAAATATCTGTCAATGCATGATATTAACAAAGGCTAA